TCCAATCAGTCCCGGTACCGAGCTTCTACACAGGAACATGTTTGATCCTGATGCAGACGATTCACATTCAAGACCGTTTCCTTGTCAGTGGCATTAAGAAAATTCTGTTTGCGGCTTTTGTGTTGCTGAAAAACAACCCCAGTGAGTTTTACATTTGAGAAACAAGAGCGCTGCGTTTGGTAATACGACTAAACCAGGCTCAGGGAAGCAGCCATCCCTACATTCCTAGCTAAGCCAGCTTTGATAATTCAAAGTATTAATACGCAGACTGTATCTCGTGCATTCGGTCTTGCAGAGATGCTTTTGTCAGAGGATTGCTGTGTAAGTGCCGTGCTCTGTGGCGGCCCTGCGCACAACAACAGAGCCGACGGCGTGCTGCGACCTGCCCAACTCTCCCACACTCCACCAGGTGTTTCGTGTGAGCTGTCAATCACCGCCGGCCCCTCCCTCCGACTCTTGTCCCTCCGATCGGCCCACAATTTAGAAAACATGTGACTCTTCCCATGATGCGCCCCCTCACCACCACCACCACCACCACCACACATGGGCCCGAATCTTTTTACGAGGACGTTTGTCTGTGAGCGTCAAGCGGCGAACTTTTCCATTTGATCTCCCGTTTAAAATGTGTGACTTTTCCCTGCCTCGCGGCCTTTTGTGGGTATTAGATACAGCCGGATGTAAACAGTAGCGAAAACCAAAGCGCTGCTGCTTTCACAGCCTTGTAAACTCAGCGCTGTTGACGTCCCTGTTAGTGCCTTCAGGGCTCAGCTGTGAGAAAATACCGAGTGGCTTCTTGGTGTTTGGAGCATATGTGTGTGTGTGTGTGTAGCTGTGTTTGTGTGTGCGAGTGTGATGTGGTTCCCAGGAGGGGGGTGCTGGTGGGGTATGGAAAATGTGAAGAGCGCCGCGGTTTGGCAGCGGCGGATTCGGCGGCTGACGATTGATGGTCCCGTGTTTTGTGTTGTTGATGTGGAGAGAGCCGCCGCTATCAGTCTCACCCTCCATGTTTACTCACGCCTCCCCTCCAACCCCCCCCCGACCAACTGTACCAACATGATAAGAGCCGGAGAATCAACCAGTGTCACATCTCCTCTTCCCTTTCTGCTCCGTGTTCCCGCTTATCTAAAGCCTTTATTTTCCCATTCAGGTGCTGGGAATCAAGAACGCTTTGTATGCATTTGGAGGACACACAATCACACATGTATGCACACAATGCAAACCCCCCTCTGTGCCTCTCAGTCATATCTCCAAAGTGTCTGCTTTCATGACATCAGCCCCCCCCCCCAGCTCGGTGTCGCTGCCATGGGATGAGTCGGCTGAGCTGCGTCATCGCTGGTTTGGAAAATCAGTATCTGGCCAGTGTAAAGTTTCCCGCTTTGATGCTCCCCCTCCTCGTGTTCTGGTGACAGTGTTTAGGCGGCCGTGCCAACCTGAAGCGCTGGGCATTCCTCCTCTGTTATAGTCGACCGTAGTCGCCATCTTGGCCGTACCTGACTCGGGTTTGGAGAATCCAACAATGATGAGCAAAGAGGTGACGCAGGAGTGGAGCTCAGGTGGGCCGTGCAAAACCCACCCGTCAGTCACAGCGCCCTGAATTATGCAAACGTTCAAGCCTTAATATAAACTGCTAAGCTATATGAACATTTACACGTGTACAGATGTCCTGAACAGGAACATTTGTTATAGAGACAAAACAGGTTTGTGTAACCGGCGGTAGAGATGTTTATTTCTGCTGCAAAGGTAGACGTGCTAACATGGGAGTCTGCTACCCCTTTTCCACCAAGAAGAACCAGGTGCTAGTCTGTTGCTGGTGCTAGGACCGGTGCTTAATTGGTTCCAACCTGGCACCTCCTAAGAACCGCTTGCTTTTCCATCAGCGAGGAGCCAAGTTAGAACCATACGTCACTGCATACGTAGCCGTTTACCGACCAACGCTCGCGCCACACAGAAGTCCACACAGGACTCCAGACTGACTTTTTCTTTATCGATGCGACCAACTTTGGTCACACCTCCCACCTTGTCACAAGCAAAACATATGACTAGCTGAACATTTTCTTATCGATAGCTCGCTGCTGTTGGTGGCCGCGGTGCTCAGACTGGTGTGCGATCAAAGATGACTTTATA